CCCCAAAACCCCAAAACCCCAAAACCCCAAAACCCCAAAACCCCGAACCTTGAAATAGTGATTGAACTATTAATAATATAATTTGAATTTTGTAAAACCGTGCAATGGAGGCAAAGATTTTCATGGCTAGAGTAGCAGACCAGGCTGAGAGATACGTCGATATGGTCGACTTCCTTGAGCAAATCGTTGATGATAGTGAGGGCGATGTCAACACTGACGTTAGAAACCTTCTTAGTGTTGGATTTAAGAATTTAATCTCTGGACAAAGATCAGCATGGAAGACAGTTCAAGCTATTGAGCAGAACAAGAAGTATGCTGACTACCAATCTGACTGTGAGAGCTACAGAGGAAAGATCGGAGAGGAGCTAGCTTCTAACTGTGAGAAAGTTATCAATATTGTGAAGGACAAATGCCTTCAAAAGGCTCAAGAAGACGAAGCCAAGGTATTCTATTTGAAAATGATCGGTGATTACTACAGATATACTGCTGAATCCGCAACTGGAGACCAACTTGCTGCAGTAACTGAAAATGCTCTCAAATACTACGATGAGGCAACTAAGGCAGGAGACAATTTGAAGCCATATAACTCAACCAAATTGGGTTTGGCTCTCAACTTCTCAGTCTTCTATTATGAATTGAAGAATGACTCCTCCAAGGCATGCTCAATTGCTGAAGAATCCTTGAATGGAGCCAAGGAGAAGATCGATGAAATGGACAACGAAGAGGCAAGAGATGCCCTTTCCATCATCGAGCTCCTTAAGGAGAACCTCGACCTCTGGAAGGAAGAGGAAGCCAATGGCGATGACGACGAATAAGTCATGTAATCTTTCATCAGCTTAACAAGCTTACCAAGAGACTTAGTGATTTCTTTTCTTTCAATTTGTATTTTCAAAGTTTAAATGCTGGCATTAGCTTTCAAAAATTTGAAAATATCTCTCAAATCGGACTGCCTCTAACATTTATGCTATGAAAATTCCTTCTCGAATATTTCAGCTCGTAGCACCCCTCCAGGGGTTTTGGGGTTTTGGGGTTTTGGGGTTTTGGGGTTTTGGGGTTTTGGGGTTTTGGGG